TACACATTTAGTATCTAAACTATTAGTTTTGATCTGTTTTAGTAACTAAACTTTTAATTTTTTTCAAAATCATCCTAAACTTTAGGTATGTCTTTGAAAAAAATTAAAACTTTATGTACTAAAACGGATCAAAATTAATAATTTAGATACTAAATTTATATTTTACCCTATTCTTTTATATGTTGCATGTAATCTAAATTTAGAATTTTTTTAAATGTTCATGGGTCCACAGTGGATTTGTTCTGCCCGAAGAGTCTCTATCTGAAAAAAGCTACAGAATCATGAAAATGGGAAGAAGTATGATGATATCATATGATCATTAGTGACAAGTACTTTTCTTTGAATAATAGTAAAAAAAAAGAGTAATCATCATTCCACTGGTTGAATGATTAATTTCACTTTTTTAAAAAAAAATGGAAACTGTAAATGTTTATGATATGGTTTTTTTCATTAATTCGAGATAATTATAAAATAGTATATGTTTAAAGATAATTCTAAAAAAATAACATCGAACGTTAATACCTCTAACATTCTTGATTCTTTAACTCGGGCCTTAAAAAATAACATCAATTACTTTATCACAGAAATCGATCGATTCGTGCAAATATTTATGATATTGTAAACTAAAAAGACAAGACATAAGTACAGACATACTAAAAGCAACGTGGGAAAGTGCTAATTATATAGGTGTCTTAAAAGCAAACAAAATGGATGTTCTTGTTCCGTAATGGAGTAAGGACTAGGTAAGATAATAGATTGTCCTCAACACCAGGTTGAGGACAGTTTCCGTAGAAAACCTCCGAAATATGAAATGCCCTCCGTGAGACTCGATCCCACGACCTCAAGGTTAAGAACCTTGTGCTCTACCAACTGAGCTGGATAGTCATCTCTCTTAAAAGCAAACAAGATCCAACATAATTTATATATTTTGAGATAATTCCACATTATATCTTTAGATTATGTCTCGTATTCTAAATGGTCATAAATCTCATAACATTTAATTGAATCCTCAAATTATAAGTATAATATTAATCAAATTATTTTATTATTTTAGCCATCAATTTAAAAACTATATTAGTTTAGACAGCTATATATATCAAAGTTCATATTAATAGATAACATGTAATAACAAAAAGGTGTTAAAGAGTTATTTTAATTTTTTTAAACAATTTAGATCAAAGTTCTTAACTTATCATATTGACCCATAAAATTTTTATTTTTTTTTAAAATATTTTATTTTCTTCCATCGAATTAATAGATCAAATATTATATATTAGATTTATTTAGACACTTTTAATTATACATGAATTATATATGATTATATTGTCTTTATTGTAGGAGAAAACATTATGATAGTTTAAGATTATATATAATTAGCTTGATATCGCTTAAGTAAGGTTTCGGGTTTGAGTTCTTGTGTATGCAAAAAATCACCGTTAGAAGATTCACCCATCAAAACTCGTGTGCGACATGGACAATGAAGACTCATATCTCTGTATGTATGGTGTTCGAATTCGAGACTTCAATGAATAATAATAATCTTCTAACTACCGAAGTCACTTAATTTGTGTTAAGAATTAAAAACGAATTCCAACAAACATAAATTTATGTATTTATATGTATTTTAAATTTAAAACATATTTCAGTAAACCATGCCCTATTCTATTTGTGCTTCGCAAAGCATTTGATCTATCCCTCGTTTTTTTCTGGTGGGGGTGTTAGTTTTAGGGTACATTACTTGTTTAGTACTTAAACTATCAAATTTTCTTTATTTTAATATCTTAACTTTCAAAATCATACATAAAGTTTACTTTTTGTTTTATTTCAATACTCCTATTCAAAATTTAACGTTAAATTTTGAAAAAAATTAGAAGTTTAGCTATTAAAATGGATCAAAACTAATAATTTATATACTAAACACATTACGTTTTTAACAGTGATATACTAAAATGAAAAAAAAATTAAATATTAGTTATGATTTAAAAAATAAAAGTTTAAATATTACAACAAATTAAAATTAATAGTTTAAATACTAAATATGTAGTTTACCCATAGTTTTACGGCTTAATTGCCACAGATTGCGGAACACAATAGCATAGGTTCTTTATGGCCTTGACTATATGAGTTTACTTTTGTTTTCACTACAGTTTCATTTACTCTGGCCCACACAAATTGAGAAATTATTTCATTGATCCATTAATTTTTTTTATATAAAGTCGTTAGTTTTATTAAAAATAAAAAATATTTAAAATTACAATGAAGATTTATAAGCATAGTCGTAAATTTAAAATATAATTATGACATTTTCTTATTATCATTGAGATAAAAAACTAGCCACATATATTACATAAGGCCCAAAGAAGGAAAATGTTAAAAAACTTAACCAAAAATCTAGAATAAAATAAAAATACGAACAAATCTGATTGCATCGTTAACGAATCACAGAAATAAATGAAGCTACTAAAAGATCACCGACAAATCGTAAATCAGAGTCAAGCGACGTGAGAAAATTATCCACGAACGCAAAACGTGTATCCAAATCAATCCGAGGGTCCAAAGTAAGGAAGATCATCATGATAACAAATAAGTGTCATCTTGATCAGTCGTGACGATTTTAAATCAAACTCTGAGAAAAAAGATAAACCAAAACAAGGACAAAAAATCGTAAAATACCAAAAATTAGAGAAAAATATACCACAAAAAACAGAGATAAATGTGTCATAAAGTCAGATAATATGTCACAAAGACATAATTATTCTTATTAAAAAACTAGAAAAAAATATAACCGACTGACGAAAACCAACATTAAAATCGGTGTCGCCGTCGGTTAAATAAAATTAAAGAATAACAAGTTGAATTAATCAATAAAATTGACATAAAATATAAAAAAATAAAAATAAAAAAAAGAAAGAAAGAAAAAGAAAGCAATTATCACATCTATTAATTTTAAAATAACTGTTAACATCTTATTTATTTATATGTAAAAAAATGAATATTCACCTTAAAAAATAAAATAATTTTTTTTAATTAAAATCATAGATAACGTGTCTATCAAATAATTTTCCCCACGAAGGGATGTCACAATAACTCAGCCAACGTGCCTCTGATCACCAACATCATTATTATCATCATTTTTTTTTACTTTTAACCCACGAGAATGGCATCAAAGCATCATTAGTTTTTTTTATTTTTACTGAGTTGGACGGATAATTTATAATTTTGACTGTCGGTCTTTCACGAAAGTTGTTTTTACTCTGACGTTAGAAACAGCTTACTACCCTACCTCTCTTCATCCCATTACATATGGGAATATGATCAACTATTTTTTCTCAAATTCTTTCCTCCCATTCAAGCTTCTTCTCGGACAAGTTTCTTAATCCTACAAAACAAATGTAGAACAAAAAATATATATACTAATTTAAGACTAAAGTATAACAGAAAAAATAACTGAAAATATTATAAAAATACAATATTTTAAGTTAAATATAATCTAAAATATTATATTTTTCGTAACATTTTCGATTGTCAGCAAAAAAAAATGTTATGAATAAGATAATATCTTACATTGTGTCCAATCTAAAATATTATGTAATTTTACTCAAATTATTCTTAAGGTACAATATTAGAGGATGGTAGTTGAAGTTATGTATAGGGGTTTATAATGTAGATGAATAGTTATGGTTTATAGTTGCTAGAGATTATATTAGTTCGTGTTCAAATTTAATAATCAGAGTATTTTGAGAGGGTCTCTTTAAGAGATGAAAAATTCCTTATATAAATTGTGTCATTTGGACTCAGAAATAGAGTTTGCAGATAAGTTGATCCAGAGTAATCGAAATTTGTTACGTTAGTTCATTGTAATACATTCTATCTGGTGGAGAATCGGGATTCAAATTGCGGTTGTGGTCTTGTTTTCACTCACATCGCCTTTATATCGATTGTGGACATAACGGACACTATTATAGGATTGCGGGTATCGTAATCATACAATAACAATATCGGAGGATACTACTACCGTTATATAGCGGGCATTATCGCATACCGTTATTTAAAAATCCCTGGTTGACTGGAGAGTAATAAAGTGGATTGGGTTCTCTTGTCTGAATGAAGAGATATATTGAAGGGCTGTATCTTGATGATTACTGTTATAGAAAGTTGAAGGTTGAGTCTGATTCACCCTGGCCATAGGCTTTGTTTTGGAACAGATTGTTGTCCACCTTCTATATGGAACCTTTTATTATTAGACACACCAGTGAGGTTAACCGACCGAGTCGAACTTCCAAAATTTTATTAATCGATTTTCCCCTCTTTAATCGTTAATCGAACCGAAATTTTATTAAAAGTAATTAATCGAAAAGAAAGAGTTCGGTTAATCAATCGGTTAACCAAAAATTTATAAATAATGTATGTTATATATTAAACATTTTATATTTTCGGTTAATTCAGTTAAAACCGAAGTTTTAACACTCTAATATATATAATATATTTTCGATTAATTCGGTTAACCGACCGATTTTGAACCGAATTAACCGGTAACCGAAGTTTGAAAAAATCATTAACCGTAACCGACATAACCTAAAATTAACCGACCGATTAACAAAAAAAAACTTTAATTTAATCGGTTAAATCAGTTTTAACCGAAATTTGAACACCATATAATAAAAAATGCTCATAGGTTTTGCATGTAACAACTTATTGTCAAATTCCGATTTGGTTTTTGATGTCTACTGCACTTTTTACATTTGTTGTTTCCTCGTGCTCCTATGTCTGATGTAAAATCTGACTAAATCCACGTACATTTAAAGCCAAAATGATCAAATGAGGAGAACATCAGTCTCTTTAGACTGCTCTTTACCGGAATGATTTCAAATGCAAATTTCTGGAAAACAAAGTTGAAAGAAATTTGAATCCGAATACTATACTCGAAACTCCACAAAAGATTAAGAACTTAAAACGAATCAGCAAAGAATAATCAAGTGTAGTTTAAAAGCCTACCATTCTACCCTGTTATTTACAACCCTAAAACCACACACGAGTAATCAAGAAAGGTACACGAATCCCTCTAATGCCGCATTCGTTCCACCAAAAGGATTGGAAAAAAGGAAGGAAAACAGGGAACCAAAAACATTAGTCAATGCCTGGACGTGGATGCAAGCGCCACTGCTTGTGCCCACACCTTAAGCCGAGCCTTCACATCTCTCGGGTCATCACCTACACGGCAAACAATCCCACATAGGGTAAACCGAAATATGCAAATTAAAGGCGAGTCGGATAAGCAGACAATATTTTTTTACTAACCAGGGCTAGATATACGACAGTTTGCAATGGGGGAATTGCCGCCACTACTGGTATTTTTCGAAATTGGAACCCGACAGCGAGACACGGCCGGGCATCTCGAACATCCGCTCGTGTTCCAACTCGAACCCGAGATCCCGACACGCCTTCACTTCCCCCAAGTCCATACACAACGACCTGTTCCCACCTTTAGGCCTTGTAATAACCACGACAGCTCCCCCTTCACTCTCCCCACTGAAACTCCCGCTGTGATTATTGCCGCCGTCTTTCCTTTTGCTCTCACTTTTACCGGCACTCAACTCCGCCCATCTTTCCCTTGTAACCCTCCTCTCCCTCGGGTTCTTGCTCCGGACGCTCCGTCTTTTCGGCCTCCCCAAACCACCCTTTTGGGCTTCGTTTTCACTGGCGTAATCTTTAACCACCATCAGCATCCCGGTTCTGTTCCTCCGACGAGGCGGACTGGCGGGAAGCGAGTAACAGCTAGGTTCTTGGTCGGAGTCCGATGACAACTCCAGAAACTTCTTGCTGAAGAAGTCTTCGTCCACGTCTGCATCGAAGCTTTCGATCGACAATCTCGACATGTCGTTAGAAATCCCAATAAGATGATGATGATGATCATCATAATCGTCACCATCATTAGTGTACAAGGAACTAGTACACATGGAAAGACTGGACAAGTTATGCGGATGAAACCCAACATCAAGGTCATCGTACTCATTGTCTTGTAAGGAGGAAACAACCGCCATGCTTTCATCTCACGCCATTTTTTCTTTTCTCTGCAACGAAACAAATCAAATAAACTGAACAAGGCAAAGTGTTTTCAAGTAATCTATCGTTTAAGCTTTTTGTGAATCAGTTGTCCTTTTTTACTCATTGCTTCAACCACACAATTTATACTTGCAAAATGGATGTTATAAAATTATAATGCTCATTTTTTAGTCACTAAATGTACATATTTAATATTAAAAAAATGAATTTTGGCCCCCAAAAAAGGTAATAAATGAGAATGATGTCCACGCGGCAAAGCTGAGACAAACGACTTAGAGAATTAACTGAAGTGGGAGTATCCCCACTCCACTCAGTTTAGAACATGTAGCTTAAGACCACATCCTTTGCTGCTGCTAAGACTGTTCGGTTCGTTGCCGAGGCACGACTCACCAGCAACTAGAATCAAACAAAGATCCCGACTTGCCCGCACGATTTCCCAGAACCTGGCCAGATTCGATATCAATACACTATTTCTTTATTTCTTTTTTTAACTACACGAGTGATTATTCCGTCTACTTTTGAATAATTGATTTTAAAAAATAAAATATATAATTATTTTCATTTTTATTTAATTAAAATATTATCACTTATTAATTCCTTAAATGAAAATTTTTGGTGCAAGAAGATAGTTAATAGCATCAAATAAAGGCACGAAATACACGAGTAAAGGAAATAACAACAAATTTCGAAGGAAAAAAAATCCCTTCCACATAAAAAGAATTAGATTCTTTTTATTTTATTAATTGATAATTTGATCTCGAATGGATGGAGACAGTTGATTTACCGCGTGTTTCCCGTGTATGCGGCTCTTTTTAGGTTAACCGTAATCGGATAAGGTTAACTGTTGTCTGTCGGGGTAGTTTGGTCAGGTGCGTTTGGAAGCATCGGGCCCCACCGGAGTGTTAGCTGATGTATGTTACCGCGTTTCAAGAGCCACCTGTCCCCCTCCTTTTTTCCTCAAAGGCCCAATTGGGGTCAACGTGACTACGGCCCGGTTTAGTCTCCTGATAATGCCCCCAACACATATTAATCTCACTTTTATTTAGGGTAAGTATGCAAATGATCCCAGGATATTATTTTATTAAGTCTCTCAATTATTAAAAATTAGAAATTAATCTCTTAACAGTAGGAAATTATTTTTTTGAGTCCATTGATTATTAAAAGTTACAAAATGATCACCTGACTATTCGTTGTGTTCCAAACTCATCATTTTTCATTAAAAAATAATAGTTGTTTATAGGGACGGAATCAAGATTAGATATTGACAGATGCCGAAATATTAATCTATTTAAACTTAAAGTTCGAAAGAGAATGTCTAATTTGTCCAATATTTAAACTTATAATTACCTAAATTGATATTATGCCAAAAAAATGGGGAACATTAGATTAACCTTCTTTAATTTGACTTAATTAAATATTTAATATATTCTTCTATCTTTTAATTTGAATACTTATTTTTACATAAACTAAATTACTATTGGATAAAAATCTATTGAACATAATTTTTTTTACAGGGGTCGGGGCTCCTAACAAAGCTCTGCCCTTGACTGTTTGAGCTGGACGTTAACTTGCTGATTAGAATATGATAGTCGTTTGAGATTCTAAGATCATATTATCTCATATATCAGTCAGAAAATTAATATTCAACTTAAATTGCCATCAATTTTTAACCGAAAATTGATGAGTTTGGATCAGAATGAATAATCGAGTTGCCATTTTGTAACTTTTAATAGTCAAATAATTTTAAAAAAAACAACGTACTATAGTCGGAATATCATTTTGTAACTTTTAATAGTTAAATAATTCAATAAAATAACACTCTATAGTCGGGGGCCATTTATCTACTTTACCCTTTTATTTATTGAATTAATACTTTTAGCCACCCCGCTATCCTCAACATTTTGTGGAGATTAATGTGGGTTTAGTTAACACAGCCGCTCACCGACCGTGGAACCTTTGACTGGTACTTACACGTGTTAATGAGACTAGTTAGAAACAAAATATATATTTTTTTTTAAAAATCATCCATTGAATAAAAATGGCTGACATGGTGAAGGAGGTTAAACCCTTTTTTTGTATTTGGAGTCTATACGTGTAGCTTAATATTAATATATTGATTGTGATATAATAAAATTTGATTTTAGAATTTTAAAATATTATCATTTTTGAATAATCATGTTAACATCCAATTTAGATAATCGTTATTTTTTTAAAGGAAAATGACGAATTTACTTAATTATTAAAATTTTTAGATGTGGTCTATAAATTTACATATGATATAAGAAATATAAGCCTTTAACCATGTGTAGAATTAGACATGTCAATTAAGAACGTGAGATAAGCTTTATATTGAATTAATCTAGATTAAATTAATTTTTTTTGTTTAGTTCAAATTCAAGACATTTTGAATTTTAATTTATTATTATTATTATTTTGGGTAAGTACAAAATAATATATGTTCATAGATTACTCTCCACCATTTAGTATTGAACCCTCACACCCCTAGTATTCCTAACGCTTGAACCCGAGACCTCCAGGATTAACAACAATTTCTTTACCCTCGGGTCGCTTAGTTCGTTCTAAATTTTAGTTAATTGAATTTACGCGAAGCTCCTGGCCTTAAAAGAACACAACATATTCCGCGTATTATTTTTCTTTTAATGTGATCCTTTAACTCAAAACAAAAAAAAACCAAATATGACTATTTGACTAATATTTCACGTCATTAGCCAACAATTTTGTTAATTTCGACTGACGTGGTTATTTTCTCAAATCTGTTAAAAAGAGAATATTGCTTGTGATTGTTGGTAGAAACGAAAATAATTAGTTTCCAGTTGCATGGGTAATTGTTAAAGGGGAATGAAAAGAATCATGAATTATTTTTGCATAAACTTATGATTGACTTAGAGCATCCTAATGAGAAAAAGATTTACACTAATGTTGGTCAATGACGAAAAATATTAGTTAAAGGGTTAAATTGAATTTTTTTTTAGTTAAAGAGTCACATTGAGAGAAAAATAGTACAATAATCACATTGCCTTTTTAAAGTCTGTGAGCTTCGAATATCTTTTTACCTTGAATTTATGAAGTTATTTTTTATATCTTAAATTGTAATAATTTTAAATCATTACATATGATTTATAAAATCATTTAATGTTCAAAATTATTATGTCAATAATTTCTTTAA